TATTATTAGTTGATGTGTGACTCCTAATATAATTTTTGTACGTGCTTCATGTATTTTGAAGTTATATTGACTCTTAATATAATTTTTGTACGTGTTTCGTGTATTTTGAATAGGCCTATCCAATTGGGCTTCGGTCCGGACCCGGCTCGGTGTTTGACCCGAACCCAGCATGGGCCCGGGAAAAGCCCAGAAAATCTAGGCCGATCGGGCTCCGCGCCCGGGTCTGGGTTGTGTTGATGAAGCGTGGCCTGGGCTTGACCCGGTTATTAAATTTATATATGCTTTTTTTATATAATATATATATATATATATATTTATGTATAATTATATTATGATATGGTCATTAATGTATACTTAAATATATTTCTAAGCGTGTGTGGTATTTTTAGGAAAACGACCATAGTTTCCTTATCCAAAATGTATATATTTAAGTACGCAAGTGTGTGTGTACTTGTAAGTATACAAGTAAATTATATACTTATATATATGCACTCTTACCATGATATAGATACTAAGATATAATTATATAAGTGTATATAATGTAGTTATAAGTATACTTATATGCTTATATTATAGACTTATAGTTATATAAGTATATTTTATATAAGGACATAAGTATAACTATATATAAGTATATTGTATCTAGTATATATAAAAAGTATATCATATAAGTAAAGTATATAACAATACTTTAAAAAACATAATATAAGTATGTAACAAATACATATATAACTATATAACACATATATATAAATAAGTAATATATACTTATGTGATACTCTCTCTCTCTCTCTCTCTCTCTCTCTCTCTCTCTCAAGTTATAAGTATATACAATATATTTTCATATAATATATGTATATAGAATATATAGCTATATACTAATATGTAAGTATATACTAATACATACTTATATATAAATATAATAAGATTAATCTAATTTTAAGTAACTTTTTGCAAAAAAAAAAACCAAACAACAAAAAACAAAAAAACAAAAAACAAAATCCATCCTGGCATGGAGCCCAGCCCAAGCATACTAGGTCCGGGTCCGGGCCAGGGCTAGGCATTTTGCCAAGCCTAGACCTGGATCCGAATTTCCTGGCTCGGCCGACCTGTATAGACAGGCCTAAATTTGAAGTTATATTTACATCTCTTATGCTATTTTCCTACAAATCTCTTTATGAATAGATACGTATTTATCTTCCTTACACTTGTGGATAATTGTTTATCTAAAATTTTCAAACATAAAGTATAACGATTGATGTGTTTTTATCTTTTAATAATAACAAAAATGGGGAGAAAATGGAAATTTTGAAATTTTTGCATAATGGTTTCGTGACTTAATTGATTTATGTTGTATATGCAAAGTTTTAGGGGGAATTTTGTGATACATGTACATGTTTACACTTTTATAAATGCATGAGTGTAATTAGGAGACATTGTATATTGTTTTCCTTTGCATGAAAGAAGAGGAAAATTGGTTCCAAAACTATTGATGCTGCTTTCATTGGATATGCACTAGATAGCAATGTTAATAGATTTCTAGTCATTAACTCTGAAATCAGTGACATATCCAACAACACTATCATTGAAGCTAGAGATGCAGTCTTCTTTGAAAATATCTTTCCTTTCAAATCCAAAATCTCAGAAAATTCTAGAACATCTATTCCTTCTGATCTTCCATCATCTAGTTCTTCCCAACCTTTTGACATTGAGCCTCGAAGAAGCAAAAGAGGTAGAATTCAAAAGGATTTTGGAGAAGACTTCTTTACCTTTCTTGTTGAAGGTGATCCAAGCTCATTTCAAGAAGCAATGGATTCACCTGAATCTCCTTTCTGGAAAGAAGCCATTGATAATGAGATTAAATCTATCATGGAAAACCATACTTGGATACTCACTGACCTACCTCCAGGCTGTAATCCTGTTGGCTGTAAGTGGATATTCAAAAAGAAACTTAGAGCTGATGGTTCCATAGATAAATTTAAAGCTAGATTAGTAGCTAAAGGCTATACTCAGAAAAAGGGCATTGATTACTTTGATACCTATTCTCCTGTAGCCCGAATTTCTACTATCAGAATTCTTTTAGCCTTTGCTGCTATCCACAAACTGATCATACATCAGATGGATGTCAAGACTGCTTTCCTGAATGGTGATCTAGATGAAGAAATTTATATGCACCAACCTGAAGGCTTCATTACCAAGGGTCAGGAAAACAAAGTCTGTAAACTTGTTAAATCTCTGTATGGTCTTAAACAAGCTCCTAAACAATGGCACCAGAAATTTAACAAAGTCATTGCACAATATGGATTCACGGTGAATGAACACGACAAATGTGTTTATTCAAAAGTGATAAACAATGACTATGTTATCCTATGTCTCTATGTTGATGATATCCTTATCTTTGGAACTACTCTTGAACTAATCTTAAAAGTTAAGGATTATCTCTCCAAAAATTTTGACATGAAAGACTTAGGTCTTGCCGATATGATACTTGGAATGAAAATCACTAGAGACACTAGAGGAATATCCTTGAGTCTTTCTCACAGTATTGAGAAAATGCTGATCAAATTCAACTTTCATAACTTTAAATCTGTTTCCACACCATATGATTCTTCTATACCCTTGAAGAAAAATGAAGGTGAATCTGTCTCTCAATTGAAATATTCCCAAATGATTGGATCCCTTTTATACATATCAAACCGGACTAGACCCGATATAGCTTATGCTGTAGGGAGATTGAGTCGGTATACCAGTAACCCTAACCCAGATCATTGGTCTGCCTTAGAAAGAGTATTTAAATACTTAAAAGGGACAGTTGACTATTGCTTAACTTACACTGGATACCCTGATGCCATTGAAGGGTATAGTGACGCCAATTGGGTCACAGATTCCAACAGTGTAAAGTCAACATCTGGGTATGTATTTCTTTTTGGTGGTGCTGCTGTATCCTGGAAATCATGTAAGCAAACAGTAATTGCCAGGAGCACCATGGAATCTGAATTGATTGCACTTGATACTACTTGCTCAGAAGCCGAATGGTTAAAAGATCTTATCTCTGAACTTCCTTTGGTCCCTAAACCTTTTCCTCCAATTTCCATTCATTCTGATTCTAGATCTACCATAGAGCTTCTAAAGCAAGTACATGTAAATAAAAAACTCAACAGACATATTCAAATAAGATATAAGTCTGTACAACGCCTGTTAGGCAAAGTTGTGATCTTGGATTTTGTAAAGTCTGAGAAAAATATTGCTGACCCTTTGACTAAGGGATTATCCAGGAGTGTAGTCCTGGATTCATCGAGGGAGATGGGGTTAAGTCCATTAAAGAGGTCACTGACAGTGGGAACCCAACCCTTATTTGGAGACGTTGTCCCAATGTCGGTTCAATGTGGTAGAAACAAGCTGGACTAGTGATACTCGGGTGGAGCATCGACCCATATATATATTCATATATCATTATGTAGTGTGAGCTACTACCCCTTCTCTATGATGACGATGCTCCTATGATACAGCTGGTTAGGCTGAGTTTTACTCTTAATAAGTCCAACGCATGTATTATTGGGGGGTATTAAATAAACAGCTGTAGTACCCTTTGAGGACTTACCTACGTGAGAGGAATCGTGATGGCCGCGGTTGGGGGGGCTGGACTAAACTAACCCCTAGAAACTCTCATGAGTCGGTTATTGTGAGCATGGCCTTTTAACGCTCAACCCGCTTTGCTCAATAGATGAAGTGTATTGTGTGTGTTTTTGTCAATACCTGATTCAAGGGCCCTAATTCAAGGCTTAGTCCATTATGTCCCTCAGGTGGCGACAAACTCACTAAGGAAAGGTTCAAAGCCGGAAGCTACCTTTCCCGAATTCACGATACAAAAGGTTGCCCAACCTATATATATATATATATATATGTTTTACTAATTGTTTTGTCTATATTGCCTTTTGGGGGGACTGTTAGCATTTTCTTAAGGAAAAGGCAATTGTGAATAGTCCCACATTGGAAGTTGAAGAGAAGTTCAAGTGGTTTATAATGGTTCACTTCCTAATGGGCTTTGAGTAATGTTTTGGGCCTACTAGTGTTTGAGCTCTTTCTCCACACACGCGCGCGCGCACGCACGCCACGCCTCGCCTCGCCACGCCACGCCTCGCCTCGCCCGCACGCGCGCCACGCCACGCCGCAGCCGCACACGCACACCCTTTTGCTTCTCAAGCTTTTAATTTTGCACGTTTTACACGTTCTGTAACGGCAGCATTTATTATGTAACGGCAAGCGTGATTTACGCCCAACGGACGAGGAGATTCAGCATCGGTTACTGGTTCATGAGGCTATATAAGGAGGCAGAGTTCATTCGGAAAAATACACAGAAATTCACAAAGAATTTCATAGCTCTCTTCCTCCTTCTACTCTCAGATATTTGGCTACATATTTTTGCGGATTATTTTATTGGGCAACATCTTCATCTGAGCAGAAGCTCTGCTACTCGCGCCCGAGTAGAGAGGCCGGCCGTTTCCGGGGGGCTTTTACCGCTAGGGGGGAGGATCAACTACGCCAGGGCGACAGGCGGGTCCTCTATCTTCTAGGGCAGTGTATCACGACTGCACCCCGTTCAGGCCTGATTTTCATAACTCATTTATTTTCAGTTAACCTAATATTGTTTTATTTGACAGCAAAAGTAACATAATTTGCTTTCAGTTTTAATTGGATTTTGATCCTATGTACGCATTGTGCAACTATTTTTGGTTTGTTTGGATCATACAAAGAACATATGTTTTGTTAATCTGGGATTCTCGTATGTTGTCTTTAAACACGCAAAAGCCCTCAGAGGATCCTACGCATGCGCAATAACACTAGACCATTACAAGCCGCGTTGACCTATTCAACGGAGACGCTACAAGATGAGTCATGGCGGTACTCTTCAGAGTATCATCCTACCATTTGGGACGAAAACCTCATCCAGTCAATCCATAGCCCCTATGCAGTAAGTTCAATATTGATATAAATCAACATAAATAAAAGCTTGAAATTTTATTGGCTTCTTAAGTCTCAAGTCTCTGACTACAGTGGAGAGAATCTTGATCCTTCTCAGCCTCGTGCAGTTATTTAACATTTATTTTTGCAGATACACTAGAGAAAATGATCTTATGGACAAATAGAGTAAAAGAGCCAAAGAAATCACTTATTATCATCATATAACCTCGAACGAGTCGCAATCCAAATGAAAGCATGGTAGTTAGCCAACCCCGCTGTGGTCAACCAATTGTCATCTGACGGACAAGAGCAACAGGCTTGCAAACCAGTGGTCGTGCTCGAAGTAGCGTCAACCCTGTCCCCTCTGTCATGTCCACCATCTCATGACCGTTGTCGACCTTCCAATCAAAGCATTGTATCATGGCAGCGAGCATTGGTTGCACAACCTGCAGCGCCAACGACGCGCCTGGACACCCTCTTCGACCGCTGCCAAATGGCAGCACGTGGAAGTGTTGGCCTCTGACATCCACCCCCTTTTCATTTTCGGTAAACCTTTCTGGTTTGAACTCGAGCGGCTGTGGCCAGTGATTTGGATCCCTTCCGATGGCCCATATATTGACAAATAACCTCGTTTGTGCGGGAATATCATACCCATTAATCTTACTGTCTTCAGTTGATTCACGGACCACAATTGGGATTGGTGGATGAAGCCGTAGTGTTTCCTTTACAACGGCTTGGAGGTATGGAAGGTTTGGGATGTCGGATTCTTCGACTAGTCTGTTCGTGCCAATGACCGTGTGTATCTCTTCTCTAGCCTTCTGGAGTATGATTGGATGGTTGATGAGTTCTGCCAATGCCCACTCTACTGTGAGCGCTGAGGTATCGGTGCCAGCAACGAAAATGTCCTGTGCAACATTGGAAACTAACTAATAAGTTTTTTTTTTTTTAAACTTAAAACGAATGTTGCCTTATCAAGATTTGTTCGTAGAATTTCAACATTGAGATACGTTAGGTTTAATGAACATTCAAATGTCAGAAGCAATGTATTCTAGTCTTGCTCTATGGATATCCAATACGTCAGTAGAAGATGATTGCTTAATATGTGACTACTTATTACTTATTGATATCTGGGAATAGTTCTATTATTTATGGAAAAGAAAGACTTTTTCATTTATTTCTAGCTCCGGGTGTCGTTAGACTCGTTAGACTTTTTCTTGAAAAAGAGTTTTCAGAATAGGGAAAAAGGAAAAGAGGCATGTACTGCTCTTCATTCGCGAAACCCAGAAAATTTTCTGTTGTTGTTCTTGCATGGGTGAGTTTCTTGTATGTTGCTGTAATGGGCAACCAATTAACAAATTGTATAGGACAAGCTCTTTGACAAATTCGCAGAAATTTAACGAGGCAAGTTTGCTGAATCATGATAAATTTGTAGACGACTGTTGTCGATCGTGGACTTACGTGAAAGAAGGCCTTGATGTTTTCTCTTGTCAGCTTCATCTCAGCATTATCGTCATTAGCAATGTCAAGCATTAAATCAAGCAAATCTTTCGATCTTTCCTCAGCAGTATCTGCTTCTTTTATCCTCTCCTCCTCCTTTTCCTTCAATTTCCCCTCCATCATCTTATCAAACCTCAGTAGCAAATCCTCCAGCCTCTTATCGAAACCTTGAAAGTCGAAGTTTTGGCAGAATCCTATATAATCTGCCACGTTAAATACCCCTATCAGCTCAATTGCTTCCTCTACGAACTTTTTTGTTTCTGCTTTAAAAACATCTCCTGAGCTCGTGCGGTTCATTGCCATCCCGCTCATCACATTGATCGTCAGTTTTAGAAGCTCTGCATTCAAATTGACCTCCTCGCCCTTGTCCGATCTCTCGAACAACGTTTTCACAAGACTTGTAATCTCGCAGCGCCTCACGGGGAGGAGATGTTCAAGTGTTCGACCCCCTAACAGTTGTGTGATGCAGAGCTTCTTCATGTACCTATCAGAGTAAAGAGAATGAGAGATTGTTGCAACTTGTAAGATTTAAAAAACAGATATCCAATAGCATTTTCTTGGGTTATTTTGATATTAACCCCTCAAATCTTTAAAATTGATCAAACCCTAAGAGGTATCACAATTTGGTTCGTCAATGACCAAAACGCCCCTCTTTCTTTTCTTTTCTTTTTCTTTTTTCTTTTTTTCTGGAAAAAAGGCGTTTCATGGGAAACATAAACTGAGGTGTATTTTGGTCATTGAGGGACCAAATTGCAAGTCCCGTTAGAATTCACGGTACTTATGTGCCGTTAGAATTGCAAGTCTCGTTAGAATTCACGGTACTTATGTGTCGTTAGAATTGCAAGTCCCGTTAGAATTCACGGTACTTATGTGCCGTTAGAATTGCAGAAGCCAGCAGAGCCATAGGTGAGGTGGTGATTAGCTTTTATCCGCGGCCTGTTAGAGAAGGAGAGCTCATGAGTCTTGAGGAATTCTTTTGCAGTTTCTGGTGAGGAGGCGACGACGCAACGGTGGGACCCTAAGCGGATGGAGATGAGGGGTCCGTAGCGAAGGGAGAGCTTGTGAAGAGCCTGGTGAGGGAGGGCCCCCAGAAGATGGAGATGGCCGAGTATCGGGCCCCAGGGGACTCGGTGGAAGTCGCGGGCTGCTGGTCCTTCGTCGCCAGCGGATGATGAAGAGGGAGAAGAGCCACAGGCAAAGGCATGACAGGAGGGAAAGAGCTGGATAGGACTTCGCAACCGTTATGGTCGTTGGTTTCGTGTTATGGTTTTAGATATCTTGCGATATATATAGTGATGATTACAATGTGGTAGGAGATCATTGCTTACGCAATTTATGGCGTCATGTTTCACAACGTTCTAGGGGCGAACTTACATGTTGAACAAGTTAATATAAATTTAGGCATCCTAGCACATTGTTGGGACAAACCCGGAGTCCAACAGAGCAGTCTCAATGAACAGTAGAGTGAAAGTAATAAAAAGGACGTATACATTTAGGTGAAAAACCTCCTAAATGAATTTGAGATAAAGATCACGGGTAATGATAGAAAAATCCACTATGAGAAAAAACTTTAGAGTTACAAACTCTCTCTTCTCTTTCTCTCCCACTCTTCTATACGTGAAGTTGTTTCTGGGATGGATTTTTCCTGAAGAGTTTTGGGCCTATTTATAAAGGGAGAAAATACTATTTCTAATTTTATAATATTTTTTTTTCCCAAGTCAATGGTCGGTGGAGAACAAGCATCACATATTAATTCGCTAGAAGCCTTCCAATAAAAAACCAAATAGGAGTACAATTCTAACGTGCGCTCAATTCGTGATGGAACAAACCAACTCCCATCCAACTCTTGATGAAACAAACCAACTCCCATCAACTCTTGGCTACGAGAATTCCAGCAAGGTTCTAATTGGGATCCAATATTCCAATTAGAGTCAAAAGACCTGACAGTTCTTATAACACTAGGATTAAGACTTTAGACCTAATCAAGATGTCTACACCAACTCAAACACTAAATGACTACAACACGCAATCATGGTTGAAGATCCCGAACTAAATTACTTCTAGCTTCGGTATTTGAGTCACACCATAAAAGCGAAGCATAAGAACCTTCTTCTCAATTCAAAAAAGCTATAGCTAACTACATAATTTTTATAAGTAATACTGAAAATTCATACAAGTTTTGTACGTACTTATGTTGATATTGGACTTGAGAGCTACAGATAGGAGGCTCATTTTCACAAATTTCCCGGTCAACGTCCCACTTGAGGAATCAATTAATCACGAGTAACCGGCGACACCGATAAAGTGCTAACGGACATGGTTACTGAATGCAGATACCTCTGCATTCAAGGATGATGATCGTTAATAGAAAGAAACATTCACTCTGAGTTACTAGCTATAATTTATTTTATTAAAAAAAGTTATTAGAACTAGTTTAGTTAATTTAAGAATTTAAGGACGGCTTCCCCGGTATTCACTCAGGCCTAAGCGTGGATCACGTTTTTTTGAAATTCTATAAATCTCCTCGCATTTTGAAAAATCAAAAGAAATATCCTCACAAAATTATATGGAAATGCCCTTGCACTTGCCAAAAACAACTTTGAAGAATAGCATAGTAGAGCCGGGCGCTAAAATCATTTCAAGGTTTGCCTCTCACAAATGGTAATAAGCAGGAGAGGGTTTGACAACTTGTACAAGTAATTCTAACACCGTGCTTTTAGTTTGGTCACCTGTGTATCTGTGTCCGCAATCCGTACAAGTCATTTTCGTGATATCGAAAGTTGAAGTTGTTTTTAGAAAAATTTGAAGTTGAAGTTGTTTTTGTTGGATTTTTTGGTCAAAACCGTTTTCCAAAAATTAAGTGTTCGAAGAATTGTGTGAATCTTTTTGAATGAACCCGAGGAGTATTTCTTTAGTTTAATATTGACTTTTTGAAGAATTGTGTGAATCCTTTACTTTAATATTGACTTTTTGAATGAATTGTGTGAATCATTTTGAAAGAACCCAATTGTATTTCTTTAGTTTAATATTGACTTTTTGAATGAATTGTGTGAATCCTCTTGAATGAAATGCTTGTATATTTTTAATTAAAGATGAAATGTTGGAAGGAATATATATTCTATTCAAGAAAATAGACAATAATGCTTGAATTGCTTGTATATTCCATTCAAGAAAAATGGACAACAAATAGACAACAATGCTTGAATTGCTTGTATATTCCATTCAAGAAAAATATTCCATTCCAGTACATCAAGATGGTTTCATTCCATTCAATAAGCTAATTTCTTTTATAACCAAACAAAAGTTACATCACATAATTTCTTTTATGGCCAAACAAATAGACAACAAATAATTTTTTTATAGCCAAACAAATAGACAACAAAAAAGCTATAACAGTTAGCCATTTCCACACACTTTTTCACGTGCAACAATCAAGTCATGCTCCTCTGGTGGGGTAATAACGGGTGGTACTTGTTCAATTGATGAAATTTTACACCAGCCCAAAAATGAAACACACTTTTGCCTTTTACACGAGCAGTAAATTCTACCACGGTTATTGTTCTTCTTTGACTTCGTTATCTTCACATCCGCTAATTCTCCACACTCGCATTGTTTCAATATGAAATTAATATCCACTTCAACACATAAGTTACCTTCTACAGTTGATGATGAAGCCATTTCAATTTGCTAATTTTGAACAAGTTAACATGAATTTCGAAATTGCATTAATAAAATCACTGAGATTCGAGACCCGCTGATATTCTAAGAATGCTAAAACAATAAAACAATAAAACAATAAAATCACTGTGTTTAGGACAAACTCCGCATAATCATAACTTAAGTAAGCATCCAAATCATTCAACCATGTGCGGATTGCATTAAAGTTATCACTTATCACAGAAAAAATCTAATCCTTTAGTTGTATTTCACAAGTAGGTGTTCCTCCTACTTCTACTAACAAACAAATGCTAACAGTTTTTAAAAAGACATAGTATGAGATTCTTCAACATCTTTGCGTCAAAAAATTTATGCTCGCAAACGAAAATCAGAAAATCAAAATTCTTAGACTTTAATTAAATTATTTCGGTCAGCCTTCAAAATCATCACGGCTCCAACTAAATCACACTAAAACCCTAAATTTTCTTCAAAGATCAAATCAACGCAATCAATAACCAAAATTTTCAAATTTCCCAAAAAACATACCAGAATCTTCTCTATAAAAAAGCAATAGTTGCAAAAATTAATCTCGCGGATAAGGAAGAATGCACCTGCAGCGCCGATTCAAGATTCTTGGGGCTTGATGGAGATCGAGAGCTCGAGAGAGATCGAGAGTGGTCGGCGGAGATGGAGGATGTCGACGGAGGAGGAGTTGGGGGATGTCGGCGGAGATGAGGCATGTCTACGGAGGAAGGGAGATGTCGGCCGGAGGAGTGGTATCGCCGGCAGTAGGGCTGTCGCGGGTTGCATCTCGACGAGAGAGTCAAGGTAGAGCGAGACGGTCAACGCGAGATGGGGGATTTTGTTGAGCGAGTTGCGTAAGTTCGACTAGTTGCTGGAAGCGAAGAGAGAAGCGAACGAAAATCCAGATTTTTGGGCTTGATGAGAGAGGTTGGTCAGGCAGAAATTTGGCGCCTTTCAGCGAAAGAGAAAAGAAGGAGATAGCACGAGCTGCATTAAACATGAAGCCGGACGACTCTGTGAATTTTTCAAAAAACCCAAGCACGCGCACGAATCGCATCGATTGCGTACGCATAATGCCTGTAGAGAAATGATAATAATATATATATATATATATATATATATATATATATTTATATATTATATATATTATATAGTACTAAATATGGAGAGTCGACGGAGGAGATTAGGGAATTCGCGAGTGCGATCTCGATGAGAGACTCGAGCAAATCGATGATCGCGTTACGGAGATGGGATTTTTGGAGGCAGTAGTTTGTGAAGTCGTACGTAATTGGGAAGCCTCGAGGGAGAGAGACCGTACGCTAGAGAGATCCCAATTTTGCTTATGTTAGAGGGAATTGGGTCACGGAGAGAATTTACGCTTTTTCTCAGGGGGGTGGAGAAGCAGAGAGTATAGCGGACCACAGCTGTTTAAACATGACAGCACTATTTTTCAAAAAACCCAAGCCAGCTCACGAATCGAGAGAAATGCGTACGCTAAATGCGTAGGAGAAAGCGACTTACTATATATATTATAATATATAATAATATATATATATATTATATATATTATATATTCATATATATATATATATATGTATATATATATTATTATAGTATATATATAAATATTAATATATATATTATATTATATTATATATATATATATATTAATATATATATATATATATAATAGTATATATATTACTACTATTATATCAATACTCCCTTTAAAAGCACGAGTTCGGAAAATCTTTTTTAGACAAATATACCCCTTTATAGTTTGAACTACCTTATCTATAATCAAATTCTAATTTTCAATGGTCAATATTACCCTTCACTATTTTGAATATTTTATTTATATATTAATCTATCCTAATCATAATCATATCTTATCCTAATCCTATGTGAACCATGTTTAGCTTAACAATTTAAAAAAATTAATATTAATAAAATATATAAAATATAAAAATGTTATTAGTTTGTTAAGATAAAGAAATTACACGTAGATAACATATTATTATACATGAAGTACTACAAAAAAACTATAAAAAGTTTTAAAATTGCAGAAAAGAACCTGAAAAGTTCAAAATTATAAAAATCATTCCGATGTCTCAAAACTTAAAATAA